GAGTTATTGCCAAAAGAATGACGATCTTCTATTTTTTTCTTTTTTTCTTTCGTTTCTCTCGAAAACGATAAACATTATTAATTAATTACTTTAATTACTAATAATTTCAGAATATTCACAGACATTAAGCAGTTTAAGCTGGTAAACTATAATAAATATTGTTTTCATCTTTCTTACTATGTATTTAAATTAATACGCGAAAATATTAAATTTATGCTATAATTGTTTAAACTGCACTTAAAATGTATGTTGAAATTTAACTACCATAAAATTCTCATTATTGACCTAATGACATTGTCCACAGTGAGGTGATTCTAGCAATGTCGATGTTATTTTTATTTCTTCTGTCACTATATAATTAATATATTATTAATTGAATGTTTAAGCATATCACAAGTTATTTAATAACATTATTTGATAAGAAATATGTGGGTTTAAAAAACACTTAAAATACAATTCCAATAGGTATTTATGGACAATCAGGTGCATTTAGTGATATCCACTAAATACAGAAACTATGTTGAACTTCTGCTATTGCTAAAAATACTATTTAATGTATGTAACTGCTAATGAAGCTCTAAGCACCCGAATTAAATACAATTATAAAAAATTTAGTTAGATCCCATGGTTCTCTCAAGAAGTAAAAAAACATTTACGGAAAGAAGTTATGCATATACCTAAAATATAGATCCCTTAGAACAGAAGAGTCTTATGAACAATACACGCAGAGCCGAATCGAGGCACCACTACTGGTTAGACAAACAAAAGATGAATGCTGTGAGAGGTTTGCGAAACGAATGGAGATTTTTACGGCCTACGCAAGCAAATGTGGCAATTTCTCAGGAACCATCGAAATTAAATCAAAGAACTAAAGGAATCAAACCCAATAGAAAAAGAGACGTAGACCCAATATCTCACGGATCTGTACAAAAAGGAAGAACATATTATTGATCTGAACACAGCAGAAATAACAACAAACGAAGTAAACGAAGTAAAAAAACTGAAAAACAGGAAAAGCCCGAGCACGGACGACATAACAAATGACCTAATAAAGTATGGGCACCGAGACGCATCTAACAACTCGTAATAATTACCCGCAGAATTCTTTTCGTTCATAAAATCACGGATGGATGGTGATTGAGCATCACAATCCTCATGTTCAAAAAAGATGATAGGAAAATTCCATCAAATTACAGAACCATAAATCTACTGAACACCACCCTAAAACTAACAACAAGAATAATCATTACTCTTTCAGATAAACAACACATATCCAGAATAGGAAGATCGTGTACCAGTCTTGGTCATGAGACAGGTAATCGAAAAGTCGATTGAATATATCTTCGGGCTGCCTAAGCACGTGTCCTGCCAATCTAAGCCGTTGAGCCGTTATTCGTCGTATGGCTCTCTCAGTTCTGCATTCGTTTTACTTCTGTGCTGCTGCGTCTGTGGATTCTTTGTCGGGCCGTATATTTTTTTCAGTATTCGTCTTTCGAATCTTCGGATGCCCTCCTCATTTCGTACCGTTAGCGTCCACGATTCGCAGCCGTACATGATGATAGATCTGATGACAGTTTTAAATACTTTCATTTTAGATCTTCTAGTAATTTCTTTGGATCCAAAGACGTTCTAAGGGCATCAAAGCAGTTGTTTGCGGTTTTAAGTCGATACTGTATTTCCTCGCTGATGTCATTGTCGGCTTTAATGATCGAACCCAGGTACTTGAACTTCTTGGATCTCTTGGTGTCTAGGAAAGGGAATCAATTGGACTATCAGGTATATAGGAAAGCCACCCACACGACAGATACCTCCACAAGCTATCCAATCAACACCCGAGTCAAAAGCAATGAATCATCTAGACTGTCACTGATAGAACCAGGAAAATATGTAGACCACACCACCTAACAGCGGAACTACAACATTTCACATTGAAAGGGCTTTCATTCAAAACTAATACTCACATATTGACATCAAAAGAGCAGTAAGGGTGAACCGTATCGAAAAGAGCAAGACCATTCAAAAGAACACCGACGAAATTGCAAATTCGGACATGTGAAAATGTCGGCATTGGCGGAACATGCCCTCAGCGAGGAAGCGCATAGCATCAGATTAGATTTGCAGAAACTCATGTCCTGGCTACAACAACAGGTTCCACAAACACAGCGACAACAAGGGAAAAGAAGACGCAATGGCGGTAAACCGGAGATGGTTTCCGGCACTCACCAACGCAAAACGAGCAAGGACATGGAACGGCACAGAACAGGACAAAGAATCTAGTACACTGGAACATAACAACCAACAACAGAATGCGTCGATGACACGTCATCATAAACGAGGTCATCACAACCGGTGCATAAATACGGACTACGCCCGAGTAACCGTATCAGGACAGTTTAAGCTCTCAAGCAAACCATCTCTGAAGATGAAGTAAGCCACTCGTGCTTGTGAAACGTTTCTGTTGTACGACGGCCTAAAAACCCATGTTTACATTTTCTGTTATTGTTATAATTTTTATTGACATTAAATACCATGTTTGCTTTGTAAAATTTATAAGTAATAAAAAAATGTTTTTCTTTTCATAAACTACAATTATCAAAAAAATTAGGAAATTGATTAAAGCATAGACGAAAAATAAAACGAATTGATTGCAGCTGGCGAGCAAAATAGTTCTGGTTATTTTTGTACCAAGTAGAGGTGTGCTAAACGGTTATTTTTCTGGAACAGATTACAACGTTGCAGTTTCACTTTGGTATTAGCTTTTAATATGCGGTTACAAAAGTAACCTGTTCTCTTAAAAATTTTCATTAAAAATTCGCAATGATAGTTATGGTAGAAATTGTTATCATAAATAATGATTTAGTATATTAAAAAATAATTCTTAAGATAACAATAAAAACAAAGTATGGGTCATAAGTAACTAGGTAGTTAAAGGAAGAAAATTGATAATAAAATCGAAGGGTTTAAATAAAATATTCACTTTGCTTGCGAAAATGATTAAAAAGCTAATTTTCATTGAAAAATGAATTAACATTTGAGAATATTTTTTTGCGTATGCTTATGATGAACACCCGCTACAGAAAATAATATCTCGCATGGAACAGAAGTACTAACATACCTGTGTTTTTATTTGGAAGAAACAAGTTTGTGAAATACTTCAAAAATTGAATAATCTTCTTCTTGTCTATCTTTTAACTGAACTTGCTCTGGTAGATGAGGCACCACACTTTTTGTTGAAGCATTTGAATTATTGCCGCGTGTTATTAAGTCAACAATAACAGTAAATAATCCACATTAACAGTAATTCTCATAGGCGAAAATTGATAAACACAATCATGAACGCAACGCGCAACTAAACTTAGTTTACGTTGACAAATGGTTACTGGTGTATACAACAGTAAAAATTTTATAATCGACTAAATTTTTAATCACATTTAGGAATGTTTTCAGGGCTTTGAAGCCGTAGTGATCAGAACTACGGCAGCAATATTTTTCAAGGTATATTGCCTAATTAACATTGCGCAAATACCTGTGGCTTCGTAATTATTTAAAACTCCAGTAACCATAGAATTATACAGACTGACAATAAGATAGACAAGGATAAACGGTAAATTCAACTAGATTTGTTGACGAAGTGTCAACCTGTTCTCATAACCTCGAATATTGGTGTTTAAAAATAAATCATACAACACCAAACATTTGAATGGTTAACTCCAAACAAGCTAGTGCCTGTGTAATCTCC